TAAAAATGTTGTCAAAGTGTTTTGTCATAATTCGTAGTAGTAGTATAGTTTGTGGAATTCGTATCTTGACAACATGCATCTTGTCGACAACCCATGGTGACAGCAAATATCAAACTGAAATTTATGAAAACAGCTTTGAAAATGGTTGACGGATATGGAACAAGAAATCGAGGAAAAAGCCCAAGAAACTATTGATACTGCTTCTGCAGTGATTCTTAACTTGCTACCAGTGAGATCTAGAAATCTGTAACTATTTTAGTTCAAATGTAAGTCCAAATAATCCATCATTTTTTGATCACCGAAAGTCATTGTCAATTTTGATTATCAATTTTATTCAAATTACTTGGAACGTTGCATAGGAACAAACTTTTTCTGCCTATGCAGTAAAAGTACACCTTTTCTGCCTGTTAAGTGTCATTAAAAGGCAACTTTTAATGTCATTTGGAGAAAAATGTTTTTTTCTGTGTGTATCACTTGTCACCTGTGCATAAATATTCTAATTTTTTCGAAGTCCCTACCATTGGGCGTACGTTGACCACACATCCGCATGTCGAAAATGCAAATTGGAACTCCTTCCATATATAAAGATGCCCATCGGATCTGGATCCATTTAAATCACTGACGATTTCCGTAAGATTTGTCGATGTCCGTGTGGTGAAATTTCAACAGTGGAAAAAGTGGGTGCAATTCAGTTAATAAATCAAATAAGTAAGTACCGATTGAGTAATCAGCTATCCTACAATTGCCCGAGCGAAAAATTATCAATAGTAAAAACACAACAGCTTTTTTTATCGGATAAATATCCCTTAGTAACGAAAAACATTTGCCGATCAGTAATTTTTCGAGAAAAACTGACGTGATTTTTTTGGAAGTTCCAAGCTCATCAAGATCAGAGTTCATACAAGTATACTTCTTCTATACATTTCAACTTTCATTTCAATACTGAACATATTGATAAGTTATTTTGATTTTTCATGCTCTCTTTTTGGATATTCAACAGATATAATTCAATGTTCGACGTGGCAAATAGCCAGGAAAGTAGTTGTTTTCTGTTGAATATTCAGAATGATATAATATGCATATCTTTATATGAAGGAGAATGCAAATCCTCTACTTCAGAAGATTTTGTTTTCAAATTCTGATCGTGTGTGTTCAATAAATGTAATTCAATATTCGTCGTGGCGTATAGCCAGGAAAGTAGTTGTTTTTTGTTGAATAAACCGAGAAAGAATTAATATAAATCTGGTTCAAAGAAAATGATCCAAGTCAAATTGATATCACACATCTTAATCCAGAGAGAAAACGCGGTATTCCAAAAAGGAAGGAATGATATATGAATTGATAGTACGAAGCTTGAATTAAAAAAAAATAATGATCCAAAGAATTATATTCAAATAAACTGTCCGTAGGTATATAAAAATAAATGTTTAAATTGAAAAAAAAAATTCAAATTCCACAATAAATTATTGAACCCAGAGAAGTATGAACTCGGAGAATTATGAATAGAATAGAATTTTATTTGACCAAGTTACAATTCTTATGTTTTTGGCAAGTCACTGGAAGTACATAATGTTTTTCAAAAACAATTACAGAATAAAATAAAAATATACACCTAAGCTATCACAAACATACATACAACACTCTCACGAATCTAACAAATCTAAAATATAGATTTTGCTGTTTTCGAAATGAAATCAACACAAATTATCGAGAAGTGGGGGTGCTTTCAGATATTCATCAATAGAGTAAAAACAATGGGACAGCATGTGTCTTTTTAGTTTCAATTTGAAGCAGTTAAAATTGAGAATCTTGAACTCTTGAGGCAGGAAATTATAGATTCCGATATTCAATGAATTCATTCGGGATTTGTTGAGCCTATATCGGGGAGGCTCAAGTCGTTTGCCCCACGAGTTTGGTATACTCATGAAAATCGGAGTTGGCACACAAAGTTCTTTTATTCTTGTGAATTTCCAAAAGAGTAGAGTAAATAAATAGGGAAGGGACAGTTATAATAGAGAGTTGTTTGAAAATTTGTTGACATGGATCCCTGTAACCTGCACCGGCAATAATTCTTATCGCTCTTTTTTGTATCTTGAAAACTTTACACGAATTGAGTATGAATTTGAAAGAAAAACGGCTAAATCCGAAGAAAAATGTGTTGAATAAATGGATACAAAACAGAACAGAATCATCTGCCATTGTTGTTTATTTCATGGGTAGGTTGCGTTCGGCCCAATTTTCGATTCACCCAATTTTCCATTGGCCCCATTTTCGATTCGCCTAATTTTCGATTTACCCAATTTTCGATTCACAGAATTTTCGATTCACCTGATTTTTGATTTGCCTAATTTTGTATTCACCCAATTGTCGATTCGCCCCAAATTCGATTTATCCAAATTTCGATTGACCCAAATTTCTATCGACCCGAATTTCGACGTAATATAAGGAAGGAAAATATTCTTTTCTGCATAAGAAAGGAGACTACCTTTTCCAATACGGTCTTCTAGCAAAGAGGAGAAACCTACTATTCTTTGCTTCAAGTGTTCAATTCTCGAGATACAGGGCGTTGAAATTAAGAAATTAAAATAGTTTTCTCGCAATATCTCAAGAAACATTGAATATAATGCATTCAAATTCGGTATATGGTTTCATCTTTCAATGGTTAATTTCTTGACCAGAAAGACATTCCGAGAATGGGCGTGTACACCTTAGTAGAACTCCCAACTCAAACCATGTTTATAATGATACTTTTATACATAAATAATGATTGACGACATAATTCGATCGAAAAATTAACTGGAATATTTTATTTTTGGGTATAAATGATAGTACCTCCTGAAAACGGACCCTCTTATGACGTAGAAACCTCATCTCGCCATAGTTTGAAGAAAATACCAAACGCCCGACGGAGACTGAGGCAACTGATATATTAATTCTTTCAACTGTGATCCCGCGCTAATTCACTCTGTCAGAAATCATGTATCATTCATCTCTGTCTGGAATAGTCTTGTTTCAGTATCAGGGTTTTGACGTCACATCATCACCTCGTTTTCAGAGGTCCGAAAAATCGGGGATTTCAATAATTTTTTATAAAACGTAGGGAGCTCACAGCAAGCATAGATCTCAGCAAGAAACGGTTTGCGGTGGTGAGCTAGTTTGGGTGTGAGTTCTATCGAATTATGAAATACAATTTTTTTGTGATATAAGCCCGTTGTATCCAGTGGTGCGCTACAGATGGTTGTGATAACTTTTCCTCCCATATTTTCTACGCTGATATTTTGATTATCCTCTATTTCTCGAATTGATTGTTCAATTATGTTGAAAAAATGCATCACCTTCAACTGAGCTAAAATGAACAGTTATCGAGATATTTGACCCAAAATAGAAGTTTGCATAGTAATTTTTCATCTTCTTCAGTAGTAGAAGATTACAAACATTTTTGTTTTCTCTTCATGCGTGGAATAACTATTTCTGTTCAGAATGAGATCTGAATAGTATCTAATCTACTCAACACCAGAAAAATATTTTTGCAATTTTCTACTACTGAAAATGATGAAATATTACTATGCAATCTTCTATTTTGGGTCGAATATCTCGAAAACTGTTCATTTCAGCTCAGTTGAAGGTGATGCATTTTTTGAACATAATTGAACAATCAATTCGAGAAATCAAAGATAATCAAAATATCATCAGTGGCGTAGAAAATATGGAAGGAATAGTTATCACAACCATCTGTAGCGCACCTCTGGATAAAATGTCCGGAATGGCTTCCTGGTCAAAAAATGACCCATTCAAAGATCAAAGTATATACCGAAGTTGAATGCATTACATTCAATTTTTCTTGAGATATTGCGAAACAACTATTTTTATTTCTCCGTTCTGCTAAAGAACTATCTGTCAATGCAGTTAAAATTATTTATTGTGCACAGGTGAGGTCTATTCTTGAATATAATCCTTCGATCTGGTCACCATTTTACAAAGTTGATTCTGATTTCCTAGAGGGTTGTCAAAATAAATTTTTAAGAAGTTGTGCATATCACATGGGATTCAATAGGGATGAATATACCTATCCACAAATATTAGATCTTTTGAAGATGAATACGTTGATACATAGAAGAATAGAAATTGATCTATTATTCCTCCATTAAATTATCAATGGTTACATTGATTCTCCTGAAATTGTTGCTCTGATTATGCTTTCCGCGAATACAAGAAGAAACAGAAATAGTGACATTTCCAAGATACCATTCTGTAGGACAAATTATGGCCAAAATGAATCAATGAATAGAATTATGAAAACAGCAAACACAAACAATCACCAAATTGAACTTTTCAATTCATCTTTATTGTCTCTCAGGAGAGCGATAAAAAACTGTTAATCACTTTTTTCATAATCTTCATCTTTCTATTCGTTTTAGCCTTCTACATTTTTTTTGTGTTAGTCTTCTTCATAGATATGATAATGTGTACGTACTCTGTATTTTTATACTTTCTTTTTGTAAATTGTATAATTGGCTTGTCCGTTAATAAATAAATAAATTAATAAATAAACACCTTGTATCTCGAGAACTGAACACTTGAAACCGTATGTCACTATTTCAGTGATTATGAAATCACGAGGGCTATCACCTGTCAAGCGTTGTCGGTCGAATTTCGCAACACCCTGTATGAAACACCTGTAATACAGCGCGATCTTTTTTCTCGGTCCTCGCGGCCGCCGCTCAGTCTAGCCGAGCCGTTCCCAAACGAAAATCCTCGCGCTAGACGTAGACAAACACCTTCTCCCTCTCTCTTCCTCTCTCCCGTTTACCCAACTCCCGCCTAATAATATCCACTGTCAGTTTTCAATCTACTCCAAAGCGATACGCGAGCGAAACAAACACATTCGGCATCAGACGACCAAAAAAAAATTCACTAATTTTAACTCGCGCCTTATTCCAGACGTGGGTGGGTGTCGTGACATGAGGATTTTTTGAAAGAGTCAGCGTTCCATTCTCGAAATGTGCGGACACCTCATTTTCCTGGCCTGCCTGGCCCTTTCCCTGGCGCTTTCCCTGGCTGCTCCCCTCGAATCGAACGCAGACGCTTACCTGGACAAGTTCCTCGATCTCTATTTGGACGAGCCGCAGCAGAAAGTGCCTGAAGATGATATTTACGAAACTATGCAGGGGGATCAGCCCGCCATGGATAACGCTATCGCTCAGGCGGGTTCAGCTGTCGGTGGTGAAGACGGGAATGTGACTCAGTACGAGTACTTGATGGCTTTACGGAATAGGTGAGTTTTATCTCAGCTAGAAAGACGGTCAAATAGTAGATACCTTGCGCTGAACAGACAGAACTCAAATTTTCTCTTCCTCAAAATTATAATTGCAATTTTTTTCTCTGATTAAGTGGATTACAAGATTTATCTTGCAATTTGACCCTAACTGACCGAATTATCTTCCAATTAGGCCCTAATCGACCGATTTATCTTTCAATTAGGCTCGAATCGACCGATTTATCTTACAATTAGGCTCGAATTGACATATTGATCACGCAACTATGGAATATGTTGTCTCTAATTAAGCTATTATCTTTCAATTAGGCCCTAATTGACCTAACTATCTTACAATTAGGTTCAATTAGGTTCCAATCGACATATTTATCACGCCATCAGGCCCAAATTGGCACATTCATTTTGCCATTAGGATCTAATTGACAGATTTATCTTCCAATTAGGCCCGAATTGACATATTTATCTTGCAATTAGGGATACTTTGGATGCCTCTAATTGAGCTAATTACAAGATTTAGCTTGAACTTTGGCCCTAATTCACCAAAGTATCTTCCAATTAGGCTCTAATCGACCTAATTATCTTACAATTAGGCTCCAATTGACAGATTTTTCACGCCATTTGGCCCTAATTGACACATTCATCTTGCCATCAGGATCTAATTGACAGATGTTTCTTCCAATTAGGCCCGAATTGACATATTGATATTGCAATCATGGAATATTTTGTCTGTAATTAAGCTAACTACAATATTTAATTTGCAATTTGGACCTAATTCACCAAATTATCTCCCAATTAAGCCCTAATCGACCTAATTATTTTACAATTAGGCTCCAATTGACAGATTCATCACGCTATTAGGCCCCTTATTGACACATTAATCTTGCCATTAGGATTTAATTGACAGATTTATCTTCCAATTAGGCCATAATTGACATATGTATCTTGCAATTAGGGGCTATTTTTGTCTCTAATTAAGGTAATTATGTTTTTGTCTTCAATTTGGCCCTAATTGACCGGATAATCTTCCAATTAGGCACTAATCGACCGAATTATCTTAAATTAGACTTCAATTGACAGATGTATCATGTCATTATTCTCTAATTGACATATTTATTTTGCAATTAGAGAATAATTGACAGCTTTATATGGCAATTAGTCTGATTGCAAGATTTATTATTCGGACACTCTACAATCTATTCAGTATTATTATTATTATCATTTTTTTTTCAATGACATTATTCGTGAGAGTTGAAAATATCCCTTAGCAGAGCTGGGTGCACTGAGGAATGCCCAATATCGATGATTTTTTTAAAGGTTGAAATGAAATTCATTTGTTCAGAAATTCCAAAACAACGATGTCCTGAAAATAAGAGAATTCGCGATGTTTTATAACTTTTAAGTGAATTGATTTCATATGAGATAAAAAGATAAATAGATTGATCAATCTTGATATTGGACTAATTAGACCAAATGTTGCAATCAGATTGATCAACATTGAGTTAGTATGGGTATTTTTCATTGAATGACAACTTCAGACACAACAGTGGTTTTGTGTTAGACCGATTTATTATGCAGATATAACTATACAAAACGGCCATTTCTGTAACTTTTGATTTACTCGAAAGTCGAATCTTCAAGTTTAGTAGGTGGAATTTCGCAGCACCCTGTAAATTTATCATTGTTATATAAATATTTCAAATTCTATTTTTCAATTTCAAAATCTGATCTATTTCTCTCTTTTTCAAGTATTGACCAGCATGACAAGGATGAAAGGTAATTAGCACGTGAGAGTGGCATTTTTTGTGTTTTGTTTTTTCATTTGTTTTTTGTTTTGCAACGACTACGGATACTGTCCACGAGGAGGTGCAATAATCATTTTTCTAGATTTCTTGAGATTTTCTTTCCTCGTTTCTAATAATAACAAAAATATCAGTATCATTTCGCTATATCTTATCTTTTCTGAACGTTTCAGAAATGAATTTGTTCTCGTTCTGTGACACCAAAGATGAAAACGAGAGCAGAAACCTATCCCGAAACGTCCAGAACAAAGAGATATTCTCTAATCATTATTGAGACTAGGAGAGAAATCCCAGAAAATCAAGAGAAGATAATACAGAGATACTGTCTGTAGGTCAATCGAGGAGGTGGTACATTCATTATTCCAAATTTTTTGGGATTTTCTCTCCTCGTTTCTATAAAATAAAAATATGAATATTATTTCAATATACGTGTAGTAAGGACAAATCAGATGATTTGCCCCAAAATGTCACTGCGTTTAAAGAATTTTCCTATCAGAGAGCCTAAAAGAAAAATTCACTAGCTTGTCAGTGACAATTTGTATTGAAAAATTTTTGGAGAGGAGAAATAAAGGTATAAAGAAAAAATATCAAATTTTCACTTATCTTTGGACGTTTCGGGACCGATTCTGCTCCCGTTTTCAACATGAATAGATTTTTTCAATTGCGAAGTCGTATAATATGTCTTGAAGCTTTTCAGTTTTCAATGACAATTGGTGACGTTGGCAATCAAAGGAGTTACAGAATGTTTTCATTAATTAATCTTGAATTGTATTGAAAAATTTTTGGAGAGGAGAAATAAAGGTATATAGAAAAAATATCAAATTTTCACTTATCTTTGGACGTTTCGGGACCGATTCTGCTCCCGTTTTCAACATGAATAGATTTTTTCAATTGCGAAGTCGTATAATATGTCTTGAAGCTTTTCAGTTTTCAATGACAATTGGTGACATTGGCAATCAAAGGAGTTACAGGATGTTTTCATTAATTAATCTTGAAAAAATCTATTCATGTTGAAAACGGGAGCAGAATCGGTCCCGAAACGTCCAAAGATAAGTGAAAATTTGATATTTTTTCTATATACCTTTATTTCTCCTTTCCAAAAATTTTTCAATACAATTCAAGATTAATTAATGAAAACATCCTGTAACTCCTTTGATTGCCAACGTCACCAATTGTCATTGAAAACTGAAAAGCTTCAAGACATATTATACGACTTCGCAATTGAAAAAATCTATTCATGTTGAAAACGGAAGCAGAATCGGTCCCGAAACGTCCAAAGATAAGTGAAAATTTGATATTTTTTCTATATACCTTTATTTCTCCTCTCCAAAAATTTTTCAATACAAATTGTCACTGACAAGCTAGTGAATTTTTCTTTTAGGCTCTCTGATAGGAAAATTCTTTTTTCTACAAGCGTGCGTGATTCACCCTATACCCGCACGCAATTTAGTTTGGGAAGTGTCATTTTCCCGCAACAGTGCGGGAAAACAAAGATATGCTAAAATCGCTAGTAATATAAGTGGTTGGTGATTGAATATAATAGTTTAAGTTTGTTTGTTGCAGTATTAAGTATGTATGTTCAGAATCATCCATCAAATTGCACTATTTATTGTAAAAATTAAGAAATATTGAGAAATAAAAATTGATTATTATAAAAATCCCCCTATATAGATTTGGATTGATCTGACGGGAAACGTCAATTTGTCATGCCAATCAAACCTCAAATAAGTTTGAAATTGTCGAAGTGACAGACACAGCGTTACTGTCATTTTCGATTCAGTGGAAATGCCACAATGTGATCAAAAACTTCTAGCTATAGGAATTTGATACAGATGCGTTATCACCAACGAAGTCTTAAGAAAGGTATGAGAAGCTATACACGAGTTTTATTGAATGGTGCAACAATAAAGAAATGAAAAAAACCGAATGAAGAATAGGTATTTTTGGCTCATTTCATAGAAGTGTCTGGAACCTAGAGACCAAACTCCTAATGGGCCTGCTGGCTTCAGCAATGAACCAACATAATGCGTCAAACTGTAAGTTCACAATAGCTATTACTAATAATTAATAGATAGAGAATATATATCTCTTGTTAGTTGTTCCTATTTGCTTGAATAATTAATTGAACGATTCAATCAATTTCCTACGCTTGTAGAAAAAATATTGTTCCTAACTCATGCGGAAAGTGTCTTTCCCGCACTCGACTGCTTGCCCGAACTCCGCTTCGCGTCGTTCGTGTCAACGGCAGTCACGTGCGGGAAAGAATCACTTTCCGCACTTGTTAGGAAAATTACTATAAACGCAGTGACATTTTGGGGCAAATCATCTGATTTGTCCTTACTACACGTATATTGAAATAATATTCATATTTTTATTTTATAGAAACGAGGAGAGAAAATCCCAAAAAATTTGGAATAATGAATAATACAGAGACTTCGCCAAAATCACTGGTATCATATAAATAAAATAAGTCTTACAAAACTCGGATTTCACACTTTGGTGGTACGATGACGAAAGATCAATCACAATAAGAAGACAACATACACTTCTCCAAAAAATCAATGCACCACCAAAAAGTAGCCAAAAGTTTAAGATACATTTTTGTCCAAACTACTTGTTCGATTTGGACGCTTAATTGTTTTGAATGACAGGTTATCTCCTTCTGAACATTGGTTGGTGAACTGTATTCGCATAAAAGCTCTTTTTAATACTGGGTGCAGCAATTATGGAATGGAATAGATGGACCATATACAGGCATGAGCAAACCAATTAAAACGTTCAATTGAGTTGAGCTACCTTGTATGATTTCGAATATACGTGGATATACATAGAAGTAGTTCCACCAATCATCAATTTAGAATTATTTCCATTTCCATATAGTAACCATAGTATTGTTACATACACACAAAGCGCGTCGTCAAATTTGTTCAGAACTACTCAAAAAATCATCGCATCGAATACATTTCGAACTTCAAAATCTTCAGGGTAATACATATCAAACTTCCTGCACAATTACAAATCGTATCAGTTCAACATAATAATCCTTCCGCTTCGCGGTCGGATCATTTCAGTTGTTAAACTGACACTCTTTGTAGTTATCGATGTATAAATCGAATATTTTGAAGTACTTATAGTATTACTATTACCACTGAATATACGAGCTCACAATCATCAGAAATACGCCAAGAAATGCGTAGAAAC